CGGTTCCAATCCAGCATGAAATTAACTAAAGAAAGATCACACCTTTACTTCCATTTTTTTCTCTTGGTATACATAAATGCGAGAAGAGATTTCCTCAATGGTCACATTATCTTATTAATTCCAGTGCAGTTGAGAAAGGGAAAATTTGAAAAAGGAAGAAAGGGATAGTAAGAAGATGTTGCCTCAGAAGATGAAGAGAGTCGTAGCGGAAAACCCAAAGAAATTAGGAGACTTAATCGACCTGGTTAATCTCCCTTCAACCATGAGGGATTTTATGGGTCAGTCCCAGACCTCTCGCTTGGGGGCTTTCAAGCGCATCTGGTCCTACATCAAGGAGAACAGTCTCCAGGTAAGCTTTTTTCTTTTCAAGTTGCATTCGAGATCCTCTCTGCTGTCTGCTTTTGGGGCATGTATTAATTGATGATCCAAATTTTGTTTTTGTTATTTTTCAAAGGATCCAAATAACAAGAACTTGGTGAAGTGTGATGGAAAACTGGGGAGTATTCTGCTTGGTAAGTCAGAGGTGGATCTTGCTGAACTCCCTGCTCTCATCAAGTTGCATTTCCCCAAGCGCTACCCCAAATAATTAGATTGTGTAACAAGTCTGCATCCCCACTGTCATAATTAAAATTTACAGTATGTGTAGATCATTCTGAAGATCCATTCTTCCCAGTTTTAATACTTGAGTTAAACTTCTCTTTAATGTTCTAGTAGGCCTTAAGGCCCCATTGGCTGTATGGAATTCTGCAATGCATTGCTTTCACGCTCTGCTATCCCATTCAGCTTACCTTTTTTTTGTTTCGCAAGCCTAATAAAAGTGCTGGCTCCATGATAGATAGATAATGAACATGGCAATTAGCCAAACACACAAGATTGCATATTGCAATTTGCAAATCAATATCAATATATCATCAACACCTTATTGTTCCCAACTGGTTGAGGTTTGTGATATCGAAAAAATGGAGTGTTAAATAATTAATTAAATGTATAAAAAAAGGAAAGTACCTTTAAATTATCCAAGCATTGCCAATCAACATATATTAAGGGAGTGTTTGAGATTATTTCTACTTTAAAAAGTGATATTTTTAAGTAATTTTGGAGAAATTGCTTAATAGTGAAAGTTGGTAGTGGTTGAGACTGAAAAAATAAAAGTAGGTAGTGTTTGATAAAATAAGCGTTTCTTGTTTAATAGAAAAAGTGAAAAGTAGTGTAAAACACCATCTACTTGCTTCCAACTTTTAGCATTTAAATGCTCAATTTAAGAAAATAAGATGTCACTTAAACACTCATTTCAGCTTTTTTAAGCCAAAAGTTGAAAAACAGATTTTTTTTTTAATTTTTTGGAAACACCTTCTAAGAATGGTCCAGAGCCACTTTCCGATCGGATTTGATCTTTCAAAGTTCAAACCATCAATGACTTATACTATCACGAAAAAGTCAATTAGGTCTCCATACTATTTTAAAGTCAATTAAATCCCCGAAATTTGAAAAATATTTCATTTAGTCAATTAGCATGTTACCTGTCACGTCAGCAGGTCGCCCGCTGACATGGTGCACATGTGGCGGTCCATGTGTGCGACATGTCATCGATAAATTGCTGACGTGTGCCACATCAACAAAGTCAGTGCTGAGTGGGCTACGACATGTGTGGCACGTCAGCAGGTGACTTGCTGATGTGTTGGGTAACCTGCTAATGGACTCAATTGATTGACTTTTCAAAGTTCGGGAATTTGATTGATTTTTTATAGTGTGAAGATTTAATTGACTTTTTCGTGATATGAGGCGACCGAATTGATAGTTTTTCTTAAAAACAATACTACCTCCGTCCCTTAAAATTTTGCCAAGTTTGACCGACACGGGGATTAATAAAGTAAAAGCTGTGTGGTTGATGTTTGTGCAGAGGAGAGAGAATTAACTGGAACCACAAATTCTTTACTTAAAAGGGAAAGTGACAAAGTTAGTGAGACATCCAAAAAAGAAAAGTTGATAAAGTTTTAAGGGACGAAGGGAGTAACTCATTTGATGGTTTGATATGCTTTTTATGGGTTAAATGACACGAGTACACGACATGACAAAATGTATGACTTTCTCTAATACTACGTATGTATTGTTACTAATCCATCACAGCAGTACCTCCACCTCTATTTAGAATTCATGTATTCTTTTTTGGAATGTCCAAGAAAAAGTCACTTTTCAAATAATTATAGTTATACATTACAATCATGGATGTTGATGAAACTTCATGGGGCAGCCGTCCGGCCAAGCCGTTTGAGGGCCTTCCCCGTGAAATTTTCCGATGAAAATTTTTAAACATCTTCTTCATCAAGTCTAGTTTACTCATACCAAATTTTAACTAAAAAATCAATCGGGAAGGCAGTCAAATTTGACAAAGGGGCATTTGACAAAGTCAAAGAAAAAGGTTTTTTAAAACCCTGTAAAAGCAATATTTAAATTCATTCCTCTCTAAAAAGATTAGTTAAAAATAATGTAAATGTCAGTTGTCATGATTGGTTTGTACAAAGTTTAATAAAGATTTTAGGGTAACAAAATATATTTTTCAAAGCGGAGATATGGGTGGACTCGGGCCGGGTGGCCCGACCCGGAACCGGCCCGGCCCGCCACTGTTCCGGCCCGGCCCGGCCCGGTGGCCCGGTCAGGGACCGGTCCGGGTAGGCCCGACCCGGGGTGGTTCCGGTCCGGGCTCGGGCCCCTCAAAACGTGAACCGGACCGGCCGGTTCGTGCCCGGTCCGGGCCATTTTAATTTTTTTTTTGAATTTTTTTTAAGTTTTTGGATTGGACTGGGTATTTTGGACCATTTGATGTGATTTGGGGTGGTTTGGGTGTGAGTGGGGGGGTTGGGGGTTAATTAGGAAAAGACAAAAAAAAATGTACCCGAGGCCTGGCCCAGCCCGACCCGGACCCGACGGTTACACGGGCCGGTTCCGGGCCCGGCCCGAACCGAGTCCATCCATAAACGGAGATTTAATTTTGGATGGATAAATTTTAGTTAATAGTAGATGAAGTTTTATTATGCAAATCCCAAGGCCGGCCATGGGGGCCAGGCACCTAGGCCACTGCCTAGGGCACCACTCTCCATAGGGGCACCATTTTTATAAAGAAAAGCCACTATTAATGCTGCGTACATGATTATGGGAAAAGAGCTAGCCAACTTTGGAACTACCAATACGGCAAAGCACGTAGCGGCCAACAGTAGCGAAAATTGAAAAGTCAAAACTACAAAATAATTTAGGAATTTAGGAATAGTTCATGGTCCATTAATCTATTCCGTATTTAATTTCCCTAGAGTGGCCTGTCTCGTTTTTAAAATTAAAAAATACAGTGTAGTATACGGCCAAGCAAGAGAAGGAAAGATATCGTTATATTTCTTCAAATCTTCAGTTCTTCCGCAAACCACAATTTCGCATAATTACGCCATATTAATTACTACTACCACGTATTATTTATAAATTGTATTGAACTTGAAATTTTGTTTAATTTTATTTTTCAAATTTATTTGAAGTTATTCGTCTATTAAATTTTGACTGAAACTTGTTCTTTTGATTTTTTAATTAAATAGTACTACTCTATCCCCTTTTTATTGTCTCTTTACGGTTTACGATGTTTGACCGACGATAAAGCAAATAGATCCTTGTCCGCACTCAAATTATTTTTAGGGAAAAAAAATAACATATTCAGAAACTACATTTAAAATTTTACAAATTCACAAAAACCTGAATCAAGTTTGATAATTTTTTATATATAAAGTAAGAAATTAAAAGTGATTTGTGTTGACCAAGTGAATAGGAACTGAGACAATATAAAGGGGACAGAGGGAGTTTTTCCATCTTTACTAACTTGCAATATAACTAATTTGTGCGAAATTATTATTTCCTAGTGTGTACTATGATGGGGAAACGGAAATAAGGGTCGGGGGATTCAAAGAGAAAACTTAAGAAAAGAAAAATGAAACAATATAATGCAATCTTTTGCAGGTTCAATGGATAGGTATGTAAAAAAGAGTGTTATCTACTTTTGATTGTAGTGATGTATTACAAATTTTACACATCAAAATCAAGAAGTATAGGTTATTATGTACTCCCTCTGTCCCCCTATTATTGGGATCCAAGATAGTGGTGTGATTTATAAAAAAAAGTAAAATTATGTGGTTGGTAATGAGTTGATAAAGTGAGAATAAAGTAAGAATGAATTAGAATCACAAAATGTTATCAAATATGGTATGAGACAATAACAGGGGGACATCCCAAAATGAAAAGATGGGACAATTATAGGGAGACGGAGAGAGTAGTACTTTTATAGTTTCATTTATTTCTTAGAAGAATTTATATTTTCATACTTTATATCAATTTTAATTCAAGTTTTACCTTTTACATTTAGTAAAAATGGTGTTATAATTTTCTATTTATTTCATATTTAATTGTGTTATTAATTGTAAGTGTTATTTGATCTCATTAATCATTTTTTGTCTGGGGCATCAAAACTGCTGGAGACGGCCCTGGCAAATCCATTTCTAGGGGGTATAGTAGTCCTAAAATGAAAATAAAACAACTAAATTTGTAACGGACAAATTATTAAACAAGAAATGCAATGCTAAACAGATATTTTATTAATTGAAACTTGAATATACTTGGAATTGAAATACTCTGCATTTTCTTGATTAAAATCGAAACCCCCATAATTGATTTTTCCTTTTCTTGTTATGAGAGTAATGAGACGTTTCCAGGAGAGTTTACATTTCCAAAATGTGAAAGCACAACTGCCAAGAGCTTGCGTGAATTAAGGAGTGATTGCGATTACTTTAAAAGCGCTTTTTAGCTTTTGACTTAAAAAAAGTTGAAAAGAGTGTTTTCAAATGACAGCTTCTGCTTAAATTAATCACTTAAAAGCTAAAAGTTGGAAGCAGGTAGAAGGGTGCTTTAAACTGCTTCTCACTTTTTCTATTACACAAAAAGTACTTATTTTACCAAACACTACCCAATTTTACTTTTTCAGAATCACTTTTTTCTCAAACACTATCAAGTTTTACTATTAATGAAGAGGAACTATATTTACAAAAGTATGATGAACAATGTTTTTGGTCGGCTTTTGCTCTACTATAAGAGTGGAGGCAAACAATGTTATGAACAAAGTGTGTCTACAAACAATTTGTTAAGTGAGCAAACACCAAGTTTGCAAGTTGTGTGTATGGCATGGTGTTGGGGGCTAACCATGACTTCTGGGACCCACCACTCGTTGGAGTTCACGCGATCCAGCAGCAGTATTAGAGTACTGGCCCACCATATGAGTGTGGGGTACAGATGTTTGCCCTCCTTGAGAGAGGGCTTCCACATTTTCAAGTAAGTACCGCCCTGGAAGGCGACCAACAACATTGCCCTGCTGGTTCCCATCCTTGTCGAGGAATGCGAAATGGGGGATGCCTTCCACTCCAAACTCATCAAGCTCTTGTTCCCACTTTGTGTTGTCCACATTTAGCATCACAAAATTCACTCTGTCCCTGTTTATTAAGAAGAGTGTTTGGTAGGGGAAAAAACATCTGCTGCCATTGTGACTGAATTGGCCAAATCTTGTACTCCTTTTTTCATATTCAGCCAACGCTATGAAATATATGAATGAAGTTTTTTGTGTTTGGTGAAACATCTGAGTAATCTGACTAATAAGCCAACAAATGCCTAGCACAGGAGAGTCACTCTAAACATACAAAAACATAAAGTGATAGCAAATAAACTAAAAAAAATAAACATAAAGTTTAGTTGAGCTGAAACTGCCAATCTCTTTTGGTAAAAGGTTTAAAGAAAATTACCTGTACTGCTGCTCAACTTTATACACGTCCGCAGCTGATTCCTTACAGACTTCACACCAATCTGCATAGAACTCCACCACTGTAGGCTTTCCATTTGAAAGGGCCTTCATAATAAGCATATTAAAACCTATTAGGAGAACAATAGTAATTGAACGAGAAGTTTCAATCAAATTCCACAAAGCTAGGAAGTTTAGCAGATATAGACGATCTAAACATATGATAATAGAATTGAAAAGAAGAACCCTTCAGGAAATCAAGCAGAATAAATGAACAACACTTTGCTCATTCATCCAACCTACAAGAGAAAGGGTCTCTTAGGAACCCAGAATTTACTAGAGAAAAGGGACGAAAATAGGGCTATGGGGTTCTATGCAGATTGGTGTGAAGCCTCCATAAATTTTACTATAAATAATTGCTCGATTTCACATTATTTATTTATTTTACTATTCCCTCTCTCCCAAAATAAGGCTATGGGGTTGACCCAGCATGCTCAATATGAAGGTGAAAATTACGGGGAAAAACTTATTTGAACACAGAAAGTTTATGAGCCACAGTATTCTTTCCTCAAAAAGAAAGAATAAATTCATTTTAGGATGGACAGAAAAGGATAGCAAGAACATTATTTTGGGACGAAGTGAGTATTTAAAGACTGAGTGATCTAACGAAGAAAAGAAAACGACAAGGTCAATCGTGCTTAATTTCTTGTTTTTTTCCAAGATAAAGCAAAAATAACAAAAAAACTCTACGAACACTGTTTCCTTTCCCCTACCATTTCCAAGATCCAAAGATACCCTAAATGATGGGAACATTATAATGCTATCTGCACTACACATACATATCACATGACAAACCTTCTCTAAAGGCATAGCAGCAGCAGAAAGATCTTTCAAAGAAACACCAAAATCAAGTCGCCGTGACAAAAAAAGCACCACTGCTCCAACAGCAGAGACCAGTGCTATTCTCCTATTGAAATTTGTGTCTGGGTAGTCAAGAAACCTTCCACTGTCATTGGAGGAAACTGAAACTTCACTGCTAGCAACACTATTGCTAGAGCCAGGATCTACCTGTACCTTTTACAGACCCATCATCAGAATATAAATGAAAAATATTTAAGGAGGCATTGTATATCATTTCATTAGAACGATTGTGAGCAGTGAGCCAAGTATAAAAACAAAATATTTTTCAAGTCACCCTTATGAGTCACCCTGGCCAAATATTTGGCCCAACGAGTCACCCTGGCCAAATAACAACTAACTAGAAGCGCAAGCCCAAATTTCATTTATACCGTATGCAGAATACAGTAAAGCCAGTAACTTGCTAGTGTGGCATCTCTCTTAAGGTCCATTTGCTTCAAAAAATGTTAGATTACATTGGGATTTGGAAATGGCAGAAAACTTGGGAGTGAATGCAAGAAAACAGTTAGCGTGTGAATGCACGGATATCTTTATTGATAAAAAACAATAATAACATTACCTGGCTGAGGTGTTTAAGTAAGATACTCACTGTGGGTACACAAGATAACCCTCCAACCAAGCAAATTAAAATATTAACAAACAAGCCCAAAATATTACTCCTTCCGTCCCGCTAATATTGTCTCAAATTACCTTTTCGAGAAATCACATTAAAATTGTCTCATACCAAATTTGGTAAAGTTTGTGCGGCTACAAGTCAATCTTACTTTATTCTTACTTTATCAATTAATATCAACCACATAAACACACTTTTCTTAATAACCGTGTCACCCCTTTCCATCCCAATATTAGTGGGGCGGAGGTAGTAATAAACAAGCCGAAAAAACAAAAGCCGGTGCTACAGTACTCTTTGATCATATATAACCTATGAATTTGAATTTGGGGGGAATCAAAGATAACTTGAATGAGGCATCCATAGAACAGCTGTGTATGTTACCCATTTCAGCGCTGCACCTGAACTTATTGTTTTTATTTTACCACTGGATTTAAATCAATAAGCTTTTATGCTCAAACTTCACATCAAGTCATTTATGCTCAATGTACTGCTAAGATTCGAACTGTGGACGAGTCACTACAAACCATCACACAGGCAAAAAGAAGCAAACTGAAATGGATAAAGCCAGAGAGCACGGGCAGTAGCTAGCAGTTAAAGGAAAACAAATACTCAGACTACAGGTTTTAATAATGAAAGAAAGAGAAGAAAGCTCAAACCTTTTCTACAGAATCAGCCGTTTGGCAACACTCGGCTGGATTGCGATTAGGATTCGTTTCGCAAAATATCTGATGATGAAACCGTCTACGGCTCTTGAGGTGTTGGAAATAGGGGTGTTGAATGTGCAGAGATGGGCGGAGGTTGAAATGAAAAGGCCGCAATTTGTGGGAGCTGACGGGGCAAACAGCTACATGAGCCATGGCTGCCCGATAGCTATCTCTCACCAAAAGGAGGGGCGGGACGACTGACGAGGAATCAACTGTCAAGGCGTCAAGATATCAAAAGCCAAGTCCAAACACGATTGTAGAAAATTTTTCTTTTAAAAAAAAAGGCAAAGGACCCTTATACTATTATGAAAATATAATCAAGGGAAAAGGGGCAAAAAAAACCCCTTGAAGTTGTCACCCATGGGCATCCATGCTCTTAAACTTTTTTTGTGTGCAAATAGCTTTAAAATTCACCAAATGGGGGCAACCACACCCTTTATTTTGACGGAAACACAAATTACAAACGGCAATTGTTAAAGTAGCGTTTTTGGACTTCCAATAAAATATACCCCTAATATTTCGATTTTACCTATTAACGCATTTTGTAATTTGTCCCAGACCAGTTCAGACCAGATCAGACCAGACTTGGATAGTTATAAAAATACAAAGAAATCATATCTTACCAGACCAGCAAATTATAGTCCAAGTAAAAATATCCTTATATGGAGTAAAAAAAAAAGTAAAACGAGTATAAATACAAGTGAACCATAGAAGCTACTAAGTACTATCTCCGTTCTTAAATAAATGTAATATTTAGAATTTTGAACTATTCACATGTTTTACTTTGATTATGTTTTATTTATTAGTAATTTATTTTAAAAATATATATTGTTAAATTTGTTTCATCCTAAATTTTCAAAATATGATTTTTTAATTTGTTTACTAAAAGAGAACTAAAAATACTAATGGTTAAAGTTGTGCATTGACAAATGTGAAAAGCTGACTATTGCATTTGTTTAAGAACGGGGTAGTATGAAATAATGATTGTATACACAAGTTATTAGTAATTAGAAAAAAAAAGATATTGTTCCGTAAAAAAGTTATTAGCAATTATCCTTGTTGCATATCATTGTCCTCTATCTTTGTCTCATTTTACATCTTTCGTTTGTCCCATTAAGTTTGTTGCATATCATATTTGTGAATATATGGGCGATTCCAATTCCATCTAATTTTATTCACAATTTATCAATTTAGTTATAATCACACAATCTCAATTTTCTTAAGGAGCGGATGTAGTATTATAAAGAAAATGTCAGATGAAAAGGCTAAAATAGCTGACTTTAAATCATTTGAGTCGATCTAATCAGAAAAGTAATTTTAACCACACTTATTTTGATTATTAAATAATTTAGCTAAAATAGCTGATTTAAAATAGTTAGATTAAAAAATTGACTGATACGTGAATAAGGATTCTTTCCAGATCGTTTTATTTATATTTCATATATGTCAACTAATTTACAAAATTAATTAAGAAATAAATAAAATCAATTTAAAGGACCAACTTAACAATGTCTAGTTCCGTTAAATTGGGTCACTTGGACTCCGTGAGTGAAGGGGGCAATTGCCTTCCTTTGGTGAATTTTAAAGCTTTTTGCACACACAAAAAAGTTTAAGGGCATGAATGCCCATTGGTGATAACTTCATGGGTGTTTTTGCCCCTTTTCCCTATAATCTAAATCCATGTACTAAAGGTCCTATGACCGGAAACCAACCTCCTACTATAGGTTAGAAACATTTTTTATTTTTTATTTTGCTTTATTCTCTTGTTTTCCAATCCAGCCCTGCACTACACGTCGGGGTGTCCTCAACACAGATTTTAAAAGATTTTAAAGGATTGTAGATTTCATAGATTTTAATAGAATTCTATAGATTTCATGAGATTGAAATGGAATTATATGGGATTCTATTTCATAGACTTATATGAATTTCAATGGATTTTAATAGAATTGAAACACAATCCGATGCAAAAAGTTGCCCCAATCCCCGGTCCCCACACCTACTCAGCCGCTCCAAACCGCCGTCGGAAAAGTCATCATAACAAATTATTTTTGCAATTTTTCAGCTACGTAGTTATTTTTTAATTTTTTTTTTTTACTTAAAAATGGAGGTAATACAAAACAATTTGAAACTCCAACTACATTGAGTGCCAAACAAGTTCATATTTTTCAAATTTGACCATTTAACTTACTAGAATACTAGGCATTATTAGGCACGGGTTTAACTGAAATCATGCAGAATTTTCAGCAGACCCTTCATAACCATAGGGGTTTTGCTGGCCTAATTCCACTGATCTTGGCACATCTCTTCAATTGTATAATTTGCCTTCCAGTTTAGCTCCCGTTTTGCTTTCTCAGATACTGCGTAGTTATTCTTATCCATTAATTTTAATCAAAATCCACTACGATGGAATGATGATGAATTGAACGATAAAAATCTGGAAAAGAAAACATACTTGAGTACTTGGAAGATGGAAGAACACAAGTCACAATGGATGAACGAGAGAATGGCGATGGAGCTCCTATGCGGTAATTACCTTGGTGGGGCGATTTTAAAATAATGGATTTGAAATCCAAGGGTTGTTGGTCACATTGTTGGTGGATTAGGTTATTCACTATTTTGGTCTAAAAGTCCATCAAAGTCTTTCAAAGTCCATTAAAATCAATAAGAAGTAAAATTCATGGAATGATTGAGGATACCTGGATTTTAATAGATTCCATGGAAATCTAAATTGAGGATACTTGGATTTGGATGGAATTCTAAATTCCATTAAAATCCATGTTGGGGACACCCCGTCTTTTTTTATCTTTTCAGTTTTCTCTTTTGTTTTTTTCTCTTTCTTCTTTTCCAATACTTCAATAGTGTCCCATTTTCTCCTTGCACGCAGTTTTCTTATTTCATTTTATCATTCCAATTTCTAACAATTTATGTTTTTGTTTTCAAAAAAAATGTTTGTAATTTTTTCTTCTCCTATTCCCCAAGAAATGTTGCTGAAATTTCTTTGTAAGGATGTTTTTACTTGGACTGTAATTTGCTGGTCTGGTCTGGTAATGTTTGGTTCCTTTGTATTTTTATAACTATCCAAGTCTGGTCTGGTCTGTTTTGGTTTAGTCTGGTCTGATTTGGTCTGGGATAGATTACAGTCCAAGTAAAAACATCATAATTATTTCAATAAACTATCATCTGTAACTCATAAATATGCTCATTCTTAATAATAAAAAAATATGTGAATTGTTATTAAGGTTCTTTTATTTGTGAAGAAATTACGCTTATAGAAATGCTCTTAGGCCGAGAACTGCGAAGTTAAACTTATAGACTAAATATAGGAACTTTTAACCAATAAATCATAACTTATAGACCCCTAAAACTAATTACGAAAATGCCACCGCAAAAAACAATTACAGAAACCTGGAAAAAAAATTTAGGCGGTGACATTTTCGTAATTATTATGGAGAGCTTTATAAGTAATGATTTATTGGTTATAAGTTCCTATATTTAGTCTATAAGTTTACTGCGTTGTAAGATCAGATGCAAATCCAAGGGCTGAGATTACTTCTCACTTCTCATTTTAAGGGTCACTTCTCACCTGATCTTTTTTCTATATATATATATGACCTCTTTTAAGATAAATCGTATAGTTGTTATTAAGTTTGATCTAACGGTTCTTTGTATGGATGGATTATTTTATCGAACGCCTTGTATATATGATTAAGTGAGGTGGACTTGCGAGTGACGTCACTTGATCATACGGCAGTTGTACACGCACTTAGATTGCGGTCTGGGGCGTGACTGACTGTCTTGCCTTCGTTAAAGCTGGACTCGAGCGAAACCTTCCGCGAAGCACTCCCCATACAGTCTTCAAGAAAGAAAGCCCGATCTTCTCTACGCTTAACCTCGCTAAAAACCTTAATCACTAATTGCCTTGATCGCCAACGGCGATTTCCTAATGACCATCACCAGCCGTCGAGCGAAAAAAATCGCCGACCCCTACCCCGCAGACCCTAGTTGCGACTTATCTCCTCATCATAACACATCATTATTTTCAAAAATAGAATCGTATGTTTTTTCAAAAAACAAATAGAATCATATGTTTAGTTTTTCCTAAATAAGACTAATTTAATTAATTAGACTAATCATTCATTTTTACCCCTAATTTAATTAATTAACCTAATTAATTGACTTCCTAATTCCCTTGCATAACTAAGGTCAGTCCGTGATTCCGGTGGCAAACTCTGGCGGCGGAAAACTACCAGATCGAAGGAGTTCTTGAAAAACATATGCCGGCGTGCGGTGGATGGTCCGGAGACCTATGGGCAGCAGCTCTAACCCCATAATGATATTTTGGTCCAATCACAAATAAAAAGTCTTATTACGACATTTTTAACTAGAAGGTCCTATTTTTTGGGAAAATGCTACTCCCTCCGTATTTAAAAGTTTGCTAAATTTTCCTATTTGGGATGCATTTAAAAGTTTGATACATCTTCCCTATTTGGTAAGTTTTATTTTAAAAAAAAAAACTGAATTACCATTATCTAGTCTACATTTTATCTTCTTTTCCTACTTTTTCACCTCCTCTCCTACTTTTTCTACACCATTCGTCACCCCTAATATTTCCAACTTAAATATTGTGCCAAGACTTAAATACGAAGGGAATATGTTTTAATCCTATTTGGGTATATTTCCAATAATTAAATAGAAAATGCCTCAAAAAGGACTAAAACTCATCCATTTTCCGGAAATAGAACCAAGTAATTTTAACTTCCATATGTAGAATTTTTTATTGGACAAAAATACCCTTATAGGGTTGAAGTTATTGCCCTCAGTTTGCTTAGGTCGTCGGACAGCTGCCTACTGACAATCTATCAAAATTACGTCGTCGCCTTCCAAAATTCATCTGTTGATCTACCAGAATTCAGCTACCATCCATCGCCGCAACCGGAGTTTTGTGCCGCCGCCACGTACTGATCCGTCACTAAAGAACTGATCTTAATTATATAAGGGAATTAGGAGGCAATTGGTTAGGTTGATTAATGAAATTAGGGATAGAAATTTTTAAAGAAAAATAAACATATGATCCTATTTTTGGAAAAATTCTATCTTGAGTTTTGACTCTACCACAAACAATTCTCTCATAATTAAATGCCTCCTAATTCCCCCAACACAATTACGGCAATCTGGCGACAACGGTAGTGGTAAGCCCCAGCCCCCAGGTATTCAGTATTCTTGTTCAATCACAAAAAGACTCGTCCTTAGGTAATTTTTAACAT